AAGAGGGTTCTTGGTTTGAACCTGTGTACTCAGGCTTCCTCCCACAGTGCAAAGACATGCAGGTTAATTGGTGACTCTAAATTATCCATAGGTGTGAATGTGTGTGAATGATTGTCTGTCTCTATGTGTCAGCCCTGTGATAGTCTGGCGACCTGTCCAGGGTGTACCCCGCTTCTAGCCCAATGTCAGCTGGGATAGGCTTGAGCCCCCCAACAGGATAAGCGGTTACAGAAAATGATTGAATGAATGAAAATGAATAGCCTGTCTTTGAAATGCTTGATTGAATGTCTTTTACTGTAGATAAGGACAATGGACCAGTAGCATCACTAGGTTTTCCTGCTACACGCCCACTCTGTAAACAAGGGAATAGCAAAATAAAACTGCGTTGCATGCTGCACCTTTTCACCTGCGCCTGGGAGACTATTGTTGACTTTGATTGATGCTAGACAGTTATTCAAAGCGTGGTAATCCGACACGTTTTAATGGTAATTATCTGGGCCAGATGTAAGCCTGTAGGGGATAAGTGTTTGGTGGTGTGCATGTGTGTATCTGTCAGTCTGCAGCTAATCTCACAAACTACTGGGCCTATCAGCTTCATATTCTGTGTGCACATGTGTGACTGTATGCCCAGGGACCTGTTGTGGCTGCAGTGATTCACAGTTGTTGAAAACCTGTTTTATTGATTGTTTTGTACCATCACTGACTGCTGACTTGTCTTAACCAGCACATTCTTCCTTTTGAATATGTCTAAAATGAACATGAGATTCTCCATCCAGTTGCATATTTTAATATCGTACAATAAGCAAACGAACACGGTATGATAACTGTCAGTTTTCATATCCCAGTATGCCTTTACGGCTGCAACCCTAGGCACGATAAGAGATTAAATAATCCCTAGCTTTGTTATCTTCGCTGCCATCTTAGCTGAAAAGGAGCTAGGAAGGACAGTTCCTCCAGATGCAGCTGGTCCATGTTGCGGCTGCAGTGACTGCAACCCCATCTGCCCTAGAGCATCAAACAACACCCGCAGTGTTTCAGAGGTGGAGTGTTCGCCTGCCTGATTTTGTAGACTTGGGGATTTTGTTAAATTGGTCATTTTTCCTTGACTGTTGTGCTTCTATTAAAAGTAAGTTAGCAGGATATGCAGCCCACTTGTTTCTTTTTTTGGCAGTTTTAATTGTTTATTGTTATTAATGTTGACCTTGTTGTCCTGTATCCTGCAAACAAAGGTAATACTGTTATAAGTCTAGTTATGAATGACATGGATTAAGGATTTGTAGCTGTAATTTGTAATTTCACATGCAGGGCCTGTTAGCAGGACAGCTCGCTCTGCTCTGCAGCGTGCTGCAGCTCTGTCATAAATAGATGAGGCATGTATTTTTACCAGCTCCTGAACTCTTTCGAAACATGCTGTGGTGGGTCTGCTGGAGTTACATGAATTGTCTGCTTGGGCGGCCATGTAGCAGCCAGAACACGGCCACCTGGCGGAGATCTGCACTCTGAGTGTACTCTCACAGTTCATATTTGAGACAGTAACACATTATTAACTGCCAGGATTTTACTGGTTTATCGTGAGACTGGTAACTATCTCATCCCTAATCAGACAAAAAACAGTGTGTGAGCTGCATTTGTAGCTGCTAGATTAATGACTTGAGGTTCAGAGTTAAAAGGAGGCCTCATATATTGAACATAATGAGTCCTGTGCCATGACCCGCTGTATTCAAGTTGTTCTTTAGAGCTGTAATCGATATTCTTATATCACCACTGGGTGAAATGACTGTAATGTAAAAGGGGTCGCTTGGGGTAATGAGCTGTCAGAGAATTATCACCTGACTTTGCAGTTTCCCTCAGCTCGTCAGAGTTTTATAGTGACTTACAGCCCACACCTTTACAGATGTGGTTCAGTTTCACTGTTCCCATCAGAGTCGTCTTGCAGCTTGTCGCTGTCCCACTACAAAAAAAACTCCTGTCTCTTCCCAATCTCAGAAGAATGTCCCCTGTTCCCACATTCGTTCATATTGGAGCTGCATGTTTATATACAAAAAAATGACCTATTGTTATTATGATTACCATCCAGCCCACTCCCGTTAAATTTTTCCCTGTCCCGTCCTAGTTATGTGAGGAATAGTCAAACTGGCTCCCATTGGCGGGAATCCCACAGAAATCCCTTGACCCACAGGGTTCTCCCTACTAAAGAGTCAGATATTTCCCTCGGGAGTTGGTCAAGAGCGAAACCCAGCTAAAGGAGGCCAAGTCAAACACAACTTCAAATGAATGCAAATGCTCTGTGTTTGTTATATGTGTAAATAAACCACAGCTGTTTGAACACATGCTCGAAATATCAACTTAATAAGGTGACAACATGTCAGCCGTGTGTTTACCAAGGCCAACAAATCAAATGATGCAGGTTGAAAGCTGCAGTGACAACAAACCACCGCTGTACAGTGCAGATCTTCCTGCATCAGCATGGCAGAAATCAAAGCAAGCTTATGTAACCTTCGCTGAACAGCGGCCACTATTGCTACAGGTGACAGGATAAATGCTAGACCACAGTGTAACAGTAGTGGAGGTCTGTGGGGGCCTGGAACATGATTCCTGCTGTTACCCACCGTTTCTACCACGCTCAGTCAGACTGAATCCATCTGTTACTGCCAAATTCTATACCCAAAGCAAATTACAGACTCAAGGTTATATTTTGTTTGTTTGTTAAGGCTGTAGCTGCAAAACCCCTGAGTGCACTGAACTGAGCATGCTCTTAGAATCTTAAGGTGTTATCTAGAACCATACAGGGTTCCTTTACTCTGTTGGTGGTGCAGTGGTTGGGAACTGAAACCCAGTTCCAAATTAGAAGAAAATATAAAATGCAGATACCAACCATGGCAGACCAAGTAAAATGAATTGATTAAGGGGACTCCAGATACATCTACATTTAAAAATATCATTTGAAACATAGGTAAACAATATATAATTAAGGATGAGGATCTTTCAGCACCCATGAGTTCAATAATCATTGAAGATATCTTTCTTCTGAAAAGGGTTCTTTGGGTGAAAAGGGTTTTTAATGGAACCTCTTAGTCTTACAGGTGAACCCTTGAAGAACCGTTCCTTTAACAAGACTAGTATATGGCAGTATGAAACGCTAGAGGGCTTTTAATTTGTAACAGAAGTGGCCGGCAGTCACCCAGTCATTAATCTCTCAAGACAGATTCTGCAAAAAGAATCTGAAGAAGAAGAATCTGTCGGCAGCCCTGTGTGAAAGATGACTGGGGGGGGCAGGGCTTTGAGTCTGAATGCTGCGCTTTAGCCAATCACAATGGAGGGGGCGTGGCCGAGACGTGCAGGTGTCCTCAGGAAATGTGTACCTACAGAAACAGCAAGCTCCGCGTCCATAGCGACCGCTCCACCCAAAACNCTTCAAACTAAATATTTGGCTAGTGTGCAAACATTGCTACATTTAAATGTAAAATTCAACATTTAGACTAAGATTTCAGATTTTGATTTAATATGTAGATATAAAATTATTACTTAAACTTAGATTGAATATTGGCATTTTATTATTTATTTTTTTAATAAGAAAAGTAAATAGTACAAAGTTCACATGTATTGCTGTTCCTGGTTAAAAGTTGGCATCACCAAAGCAGCCAACACAGACATCAAACTCCACAGCAGCTACAGCCACAAACACACACAGGATATTAACTCACAACGGGCTGCACCGTTTCTGCACAAAGTGAAATACAATCACCTGTTGTTCAATCACCTGTACAGTGAGTGTGGACTTGTTTACTCACCTGCCTGAACATGAGTCTGTGAGTCTCGCGCATCCCAAAAGTCCCCAGTCTGCTCCAGGTTCAACTTCTCTGGTCCTGTCAGTCCACTCAGCCTTTGTATCCCAGTATAACCAGTCCACTCAGCCTCTCTGTCCCAGTATAACCAGTCCACTCAGTCTCTCTGTCCCAGTAGACACACTTGTCAGAACAGCACTCACCTCACTGAACGTAAAACTTCAGTTAACGGTGAAGTAACCGCTGAAATTTCCAGCACGTGAGCTTGTTAGCATTTAGCATGTTAGCCACACCCAGCATGCACCTGTTAGGGTGTGTCTGATTTGGGTCACCTAGGTTACCCGCCGGATAGCACATCAAACCAGTGATTGATTCAGGATAATACAAGTTTATTGTTTTTTGTGTCATTTAATTAATTTATTTTTTATTTATTTTAATGTATTTATTTTATTACATTTTTTTTATTCCTTTCTTGCTTAACAAGTGCAATAACAAGAAAAGAGTCAGCCGTTCAGACAGCTAAAATGTACTTATCCCAAAAGTACGTAAGGCTTTCGAAATTTTAGAGTGCTAAGTAGTTTGTGCATAGTTGCATTTAATTTATAAAAATTTAAATAAAGTTTTTTTTTCTTTTATAGAATTTGTGAAAATGACATTTTGTGAAAATCGTTTTTAAAATGTAATATTTTAGTTCATATTCTGAACTGCAGACATCCTAAAAATCAAACTGCACATCTTTGTATAGTAATGAAATATTAATAGAAATAGATATATTTATATATCAAGTTGCACCGTTACATTGCTCACAAATTGCGAAGCCTGGCCCAGCTACGACTGCAAAAATATTCAAAATAAAAATTAAATAAAATCAGTGATTTTTACTGACTCAAAAAGTACAAGCACTTTCTTTATTCTATTTTGTCGAGTACAAAAAAAAGAAATGAAAAGAGTTAGCTATTAGTTAGTTAGCTATTTCCACCCTGCCTTTAAGTAAATACTTTTTTCTGGATCATCCATCAGTGAAGAAATCACTAAGTGAAACTGACATGTCAGGGAAGTTCTATTGACTCTCTCTATAACTGACACTTATCCCTGAGTGAACATAAAGATTTCTGGTGTATGCGTGAACTGAGTCTGACCTCAGTTATCACAGGTATTTGCCCGCCACCATTAGTGCTTTACTCTTCCTTTCAGCAGTACTATGAGCTGTGAATAATAATGATTAAACTCATATATGACGGTATCACATCCCTCTGTCTCAGGTACCTCAAGCCAGACGTTCAAAAGAAGTCCAAGCACAAAACAGCAGTCATAAAAAAGACTCTCAACCCGGAGTTTAATGAGGTAGATGTTCATGTTTGTGTATGTGCATAACTGCAATGGTTGAATGTAAAGAGATAGCTCATTTAGAAACAGCCCTCAGAGGCGCTGCACAGCATGCAAAGTTCCTGCAACCTTTTTGTAAAACAGCCAATTACAGTTTGCACATTATTAACTGATGCCTCATTAGTGAGTATTGTAGAGGTTTATAAAGGAAGAGAAACTTGTGTTAGATGTGATCTTCTGACCTTTGCTCTCATCCGCTCACCTCTACTGCTCTTTGTTTTTACCCTGCAGGAGTTCTTCTATGAAATCACCTTCTCAGAGTTAGCCACCAAGACACTGGAGGTCACGGTGTGGGACTACGACCTGGGGAAGTCCAACGACTTCATAGGTGAATTCATAGACAACTATTAATTTCCTGCCTGCTGGTGTTTTTTCGGATCACTGATGAGCTGCCTGCCTGGCTACTTTATTAGCAGTCCAATAATGTTGTACCCATGGCAGATGTTACCAAAGATATTTTGGGCTGTTCTCTTCTATCGGCTGCTGAGTGCAGCACTGTGTGTAATTTGCAGGGTTGAGCTGCCAAAAGGGTGTCAGTGACATTTCGCCTGAAAATGAGCTTCATGCTATACTTGCTCTACAAGAGGGAATAAGTAATTACATCTACACCTGTTTGTCTCTTTGAATATTTTATTCTTTCACTTTTTCTGGGATCTTTTAAAGTGATTTTTGTTTCTTACAGTAGGTAAAGGTCAAAGTCTGGTGGGCTTTTTTCTTCATTTTTTTTTTATTTCCAGCAAATCCTGTGCAAAGACCAACAACCAGTGTCTGTCTCTCAGTAATTTCGGACTTCATTTTATTTCTAAACAAAATAAGTGTCCTTTGTCTGCCTCTTTGAAACTATAAAGATGCAGTAATTATCTTTTTAAGGTGACTCAGTCACTCTAATTTGAAAGAAACTACTTATTCCTGCTGTCACTCAAGATGAATTTTAATGCAGATCAGACACTGACACGTTCCATTAAACCTGTTAGGTTCTGTTTGATGGTGCTATTATATCATTAGGCACAGTTACTATCAAAGAAAACCAAGTGAATCTTTTTTTGTATTTAATTTGGTACATTTATCTTGTGTGCACACGATACTTACCTTAATTATCTTGTGCGCACAAGGTAAATAACTTGTTCCCACAAGACAATTAGCATGTTCCCACAACATAATTAGTGTGTTTCCACAAAATTAATAATGTGTTACCAGAAGATAACTCACTTGCTCCAACAAGACAATTAACTAGTTTCCACAACAAATTTACCTTCTTCCTACAAGATTAATAACATGTTCCCACACGAAAATTAACTAGTTTCCACAAGATACATAATGTCCTCCCACAGGACAATTAACTTGTTCCCACAACATACTTAGTGTGTTCCCACAAGATTGATAATGTGTTCCCACAAGATAACTCACTTGTTCCAACAAGACAATTAACTAGTTTCCACAACAAATTTACCTTCGTCCTACAAGATTGATAACATGTTCCCACACGAAAATTAACTAGTTTCCACAGATACATAATGTCTTCCCACACAACAATTAACTTGTTCCCACAACATACTTAGTGTGTTCCCACAAGATTAATAATGTGTTCCCACAAGATAACTCACTTGTTCCAACAAGACAATTAACTTGTTCCCACAAGATTAATAACTTGTTCCCACAAGACAATAAACTAGTTGCCACAAGATACATAACATCTCCCAAGGTCATTAATTTTGCTCCCACAAGATTAATAATGTGTTCCCACAACATAATTAGTGTGTTCCCACAAGATTAATAATGTGTTCCCACAAGATAACTCACTTGTTCCAACAAGACAATTAACTAGTTTCCACAACAAATTTACCTTCGTCCTACAAGATTGATAACATGTTCCACATGAAAATTAACTAGTTTCCACAAGATATATAATGTCTTCCCACAAGACAATTAACTTGTTCCCACAACATCAATAACTTGTTCCCACAAGACAATAAACTAGTTGCCACAAGATACATAACATGTCCCAAGGTAATTAATCTTGTTCCCACAAGATTAATAATGTGTTCCCACAACATAACTAACTTGTTCTCACAAGACAATTAACTAGTTCCCACAATATAAATTACTTGTTCCCACAACATCATTAACTTGTTCCCATATAATAATCAACTTGTGCACACAATATAAAAAATAATCACCTTTCAGGACTTTTGGGCCCCGTAGTACCCTGTAGTTAAAATCATGAACACTTTTATGGTATAGGCTACTATTAGTATTATGGATATAATACTAATTTAATCATATTTTAAAGCAGGTTTTTCCTGTTGCTATAAACGGAAAATACCATAAAACTTAAATAAAACGCGCAGTCCCTTTTACTAGCCTGGTGTAGCTACATATTTTGACAAATAAATGCCTGTTTCAACACCTTTGGATTTATGAAACCAGGTTGTTGGCTACTTGCTGGGGCTAACATTAGTTTAACTGATTGGGTCACTCAGACAAATATAAATGTTTAAACTTTTGTCAGTATGGAGATGCTATACATTATTAGCTTGGTTAGATTCTTTACAATTCAATAGTTGGTTCATTTTACTGAAACCATGAGCACCAGAGAAGACCGTAATTCATTCAAATTTACCAGCATGACTCACTTCCTCTGTAGTTGTCATAAAGTCAGAATATGTGTCCGTTCCTAAATTACCCCAGTAAGTTATTCATATTCCTTTGGTCCCTAAGGCTCCACCAAAAAAAAAGAATCAAAAGAGTTTTTCATTTAAAAATAGCTATGGATATTGTTTTAACAGGATAAAATGGTGTTGTATCATGATGCCCGATGCCATAATCCTCGGGTGCCATAACAAGTGTCATAACACTCTCTCTGATGTGCTGTCTGTCGGAGCTAGATCCAGTGAATGATTTGTAACTGGTATGTAATTTGAAGCCTAATTTCTATACAAGTAATATTACACTGGTTATACTGGTTCAAATAAACAATTTGATAGTATTTCCCATCTTTGCTAAGCAACAGTTTCATGAAAAGGAATTAAATGCCTCTCCCCAAATAGACACCTGTTAAGTTTAATAGCCTGGGCTACTAATGAAGTTTTACAATAATATAAATAATGTAAAATAACGTTTTTGGCTCCTTGGTCTGGGTTTCTTTTGAAATTGAATTGTATTTTTGTCTGTAAGTAATTACATAAACAAAACAAACTATACAATAACTGCTAATAAAACAGTGCAGTAGAAAACAAAATAACCCAATAACACAGTGGAGAAGATTTTTCATACACTGAAAAGGTGTAGGCTGAAGCTACAACTAATTACGCCTTCTTACAATAAATCAAACATTGTACCAGACAAAATGCCAAACTTGCAGAGTGTGTGACACATTTTCAGTTCCTCATTACTACTGTTGCATACATTTTTGACTTTAATTCAATAAGTTTAATCGTGAGTCACAATGACTTTCTTATTTGTCTCTGTGCTGGTTAGGCGGTGTGTCCTTAGGGTGCCACTCACAGGGAGAAACGCTGCAGCACTGGATAGACTGTCTGAAGAACAAGGGCAAGAAGGTAGAGCGCTGGCACACACTGACCAACGAGCTGCCGGGATCCACACTGCAGGAATGAACTGGTCCTCTTCCTCTGTACTGACACTGGAGAGGCTGTCTGACGAGAGACGTTTCATCGCATGCCCTGAGGATTGTCTGCATGACTATGAAGGATTCATATCCTACTTACTTTGTGTCATGAATGAGATCATAATTCACACCCAAGGGGGGTCACACTCAGATATCAATACTCTCATCTTGGATCTAAATAGACCTGATGCAAATATGAAGACCCTTCCTAACGCAAAACTGTACAGCCTGAGAATTTTCATAATCATATTCATAGGGATCCATGTCCCTTTTGTGGATTTAATGTCAGACTAATTGCTCCTCTGCAATGCTTCAAACTGGTCAGATCTCAATCAACAAGCAAAATTGAAATCGTGCAGGAAAATATAACGAGGGAGAGGCTGAATTATTCTGCTGTTCGACTCTCATGTCAGGTTTACTCGCTCTCATTACAGTCTGCATGTTATTTTCATTGACCACTGACATTAAAACTCCACCGTTATGACCATCCATCTCACAGCGCACATACCTCTCCCTTGCAATAATGTTTTTTCTAATGCTTCCAGAGACCTTCACGCGGTCTTGATACTGTCAGACACTTTGTATCTATTGATCCGATTGCCATTGGATTGCCTGCAGACAGCACACCCTGATAAGACAGTTGGTTCTTCCATGTTGATGGCTCGTGTCAGTGATTTGCATGTTTGGTGTCGATGGAGCAAACTAAAAAGACAAATATGTGCCAGGCTCTGCTGCAGGATGTTCATCATTGTGTTGCTCCCAATTCTCCTGAGGTGTGTTGCTCTGATTAACTGAGAGATTGTTTTATTTAATTCAAGGGTAACAGTTTTTTTTAAATATCGTTGAGTTGTTTAATGTGTCGGCTCTGATATCACAGTGTCAGTGTCTTGTTGGTGACACGTTGATGTTGACCTAAATTTGCTCCACAATCCCTGATTTGTACAGAGGAGGAGAGTGATGTAATTAACAGGAAGGTCTCAGAGCAGATTGGTTTATGGGGAGCTGTGCATGGTCACACTGTAACACCCAGTGAATAAAATCATCAGCCTTTGTTTAGTATCTAAATTATAAACATGAATGGTGTATAGAGCACAGTGCTGCTGCGTTACTGTGGATCCTGTTAACCACGCTGCAGATTTGATCTCATGTGGTTAAAGAGGCATGCTGATAATGCCAGTGGTGTTCATATGTAAATATATATTGTGTTTGACTTGCTTTGGGTGTTTGTCTTTTGGAACTTAAAGTGTGCATGATTGTTTTTCATAAAATATTCATATTGATTTATTGCCTGCATCCTTGAATTTCTATCTTATTTTTCTCTGAGTGGCCTCTTTGGATCTGAAATGTTTACGTGCAGCTCATAAAGTCAACACTGCCACCTAGTCTTCAGGCTCTGCAGCTGCAGCCTCTGCTCTGACAGTAGTGTGAGCAACAGTGATGCAGCAGATGTGTCCGAGGAGCACAGAGGCAAACACCACAGGTAAAAGATATTTAACTAAAGCCTCATGCAGCAACGTTCTCTTAAATTTTTCTTAATTTTCTGTTAAGAGAAAAAATAAAAGACATCTTAACTATCCAACTCTGCTCTTAACCTTGGTGTGCTTAATGATGAATCCCATTTCATCATGTCACCTATTGGCATGGGTAATGCCCCCTAAACAGTATATAAGGGTAGGTGTTGTGCCATGTGCAAAAACTCTGGCGCATTCTCTAGTCTGTCAACTAATCATATCAGCTGCACTTATATATTTGATATGGTTTGTGTGCAAAAATCTTCATTTGTAAAGTAACTAATGACTAAAGTTATCAAGTAAATGTAGGGTAGTAAAAAATACAATATTCATTTCTGAAGTGCAGTGGAGTAGAAGTAGAAAGCAACATGAGATTAAACTAAAAGTACCTGAAATTTGTACTGAAGTACAGTACTTGAGTAAATGTACTTAGTTGCTGGTCAGCAGGGGGATACACACACATTAAAATGGTGAACTGGGATCCATGAACCAAGTGTAGTTGTATTTCTTTAGCTCAAAAACGTAATAAACCAATCATTGCAATCACTCGAAAACATATAATAATCTACATTTGATTATATGGAATTCATGTGTTTTTAAATATTCCTCAACTTCAAAACGTGGATGGTGAAAACAAGATGGCTTTTTTTCTTACCTTGGTAGGTAAGTGTGTGCTCTCGACCACGTACCTAAGAGAAGAACAAAAATAAGGAAACATTGGTGAATCCCAGAGTCAACAGAGCCAACACAATGAGAACAACTCGATGCAAACAAAAACAAGACAAAATGTGTTTTTATATCACTTCCTGTATGCACTATAAAAAAGAATCCACTGGTTCAACTTATAACAATGAAGGTAACAATTTCCAGACATCTTTATGAGTAGTTCCAACTCTGGCATAATGGAATTAATCCTATAAATCTTTTTTAATCTGACAAACTCAATTAGTTTAGTTTAATCAGCATGATTCACTTTGATCTTAAAGAAAAAAAGCTTAATTAAGTCAAACCAACCTAATATTTATCTAAAAGTTGTGCTGATATTAAGAGGTCAAATTATTTTATTTAAGATACTCTATCTTATTATTATAATTCGGTCGTGCTCAAGAATGTTATGCTTTTGATTTGATTCTTAATATAATTCTTAACTACCTAAAACACTTTATTTTAACAAACATGTTTTTTTAATGCTGAAAAACATCATTATTTTAAACATTATCCACTAACCATGAATCATTTTTAGTGTGAGGCCTGCAGTTGGTGTGATTGATCAAATTAAAATAAACTCTAACTTCAAGCTTCAACCTGTTAAATGGATGCCAATAATACATGAAATAATTAGAATCTCTGCTAAATACTCATCACAGAAATTTAAAGTGCACCTCCAGACATGTTTTAAAGTATGTAAAAATATTCTGCTATGATTAATATTTTGTTTAACGTGATTTTCCAAATAAAAAGTAAATACATAACTTTTAAAAGGGGCTGGAGGCAGATCTAATCTTTCTCCCTCACTGAGAAATTCTGGATCTGGCTTTGGCCCCACCCACCACCGCTGCTTGCTCGAGGTTTTGTTTCCCGCTTTCTTCAGCACTGACAGAGAAGTGTGGAGATAGGTCTGGCTATGGGAGACGAGTGCTAGGTTGACTGGTGAAAGAGCAGTCTGCATCAAGATGGCTAAGGTTAGCGTTAGAGGAAACATGGGGGAGATTTAGTCGTACGTTTGAGAGCAGTCTGTCGTGCACCACAGCCTGCTCTCACTCCTGATACATCACTTGGGTAGTGTCCCTGGTGTCATTACAATGATGCAGAGGGCACCTTTTAGCATCTGTATGAGACGCACCAGGCTTTCAACCAACTCCAATGTATACCCATGTGCATGAGCACAGAAATCTCTAAAGGTGGATGAGCCAAACAAACACAGGACTTTGACCCAGGAGACCATTGTTCATTTCCTCCCAGCCAACATTTGTATGTGGGGCCCATGTGGGTACTTAATAAGCTGAAAAATTGGCCCTTTATAGGATCATCCATGGGTTCCATCATGGTCCCATGCCAATTGCCCACATGGGTGGTTTTACCCAAGCGGGTCATGGATTATCCTAGGGCTACCTGGGTACTAAGTGGGTATCTATCTGTCTGTCTGTCTTTCTGTCTGTCTGTCTGTCTGTCTATCTATCTATCTATCTATCACCATCCTTCATCCTGTAACATTCTTATGATCTCTGTACCATTCATTGAACTTTTTACTTGTTTGGTGTTCTGAGTAAAAGATCAGAGGTCAAGGGTCAGAGGAGAGAATCGGCATCAGGACATTGGGATGTTTCTGATAAACACACTCCTGCTTGCTGTCTCACAGTACAGATAGAGTATCATGCTGTGAGGCTGACTGCGAGCTGAGTGTGTGAGTCAGAAGTGGTGTCATGGATGTCGACAGGCTCAGTCTTGATTTTAAATAGAAGATGAGAGGTCAGAAAAACACATTTGCAGCTGTGCAGTTTCTGATTATTGTGCATTTTCTTGTCTGTCCCGAGCAGGAAAAAAGAAGCTCTTTGTGAAATCAGAGATGGCTGCTACTGTTTCATCTTAGTCACTGTTTGTTCTTCCCTGTGCTCTCAGCCTGACGGATAAACGCCAGAGGTCTTCTGCAGATCCTGCCAGTAATATGAACACAAAAACAACTAATAAACTTTTACAGAAGTGCTCTCCAAAAATAAATAATGAATGTTAAATAAATGTGATGTCAATTTTGGCAGGTCATTACAGAGTCAAGGTTTTAAATCTTTAACTAGGAACAACCACATGGAGATGTTCAGAAGCCAAATATAGGCCTTAAAGTGCTTTTTATGAGTCTAGATTGTTTTGGTGTGAGTTGTAGAGTGTTGGAGATATCTGCCATAGAGATGTCTGCCTTCTCTCCAATATAATGGAATTAGATGGCAGCATGTGGTGCTCAAAGTGCAAAGTTGAAAAACTCAACAGCAATGTGACCAATAGGACCTATTTTTTCCACCAAACTACACCTACAAACTGTATCACAGTGCAGAGGGAAGCAAAGCGAAGCATCACTTGGGTAGTGTCCCTGGCGTCATTATGCATCTGTCCAACTTTGTTACCACTCCAAATAGCATTTCCTGTGTTAGACAGCGATTGGCTTTCATTTTAGTGACGTATATAATCTAAATTGCCAAGTGTACCTTTGACACTCAGATAGGGAAGTACACAGACATCGCCCCCCTTCAGTAGAGGAATGTCAAACACCTCTCTAGAGACAAACTTTCAGATACAAGTCAATATAGTAAAGGTTTTGCCATTTTAAGGGACATAAACAGAAGTGTTGGAGATATCGGCCGTAGGGATGTCTGCCTTCTCTAAAATATAATGGAACTATATGGCACTCAGCTTGTGGTGCTCAAAGCACCAAAAGACATTTGAAGAACTCAGCAGCAATGTCTCTTTCCAGAAATCATGACCTGGTTACTCAAGATAATCCACAGACCTTGTTGTGAGCAGATTCATGTAGGAACTATTTTCTTTATACCAAACTACACCCGCCAACTTTAGTACCGCAGAGAGGGAAGAGAGCTTCTAGGCCAAGGAGGACACCATAAATGTTCACATCTCGTGCAAATGTATTTTTTTGCCACTTTGAGCACCACAAGCTGAGTGCCATCTAGTTCCATTATATTCAGGAGAAGCCAGACATCTCTATGGCTGATATCTCCAACACTTGGGAACGTACACCAAAACAATCTAGACTGATAAACAGCACTACAAGTAAGAGGAAAAATATGTATTTCTGATTTTCTGGTGGACTGTCCCTTTAAAACTGATCACAGAAGTCTTAAAATCTCCACGTAGCAGGAGCTGAGATGCTAAAACTGGGGTTCCACACACTGTCCTGCTGAGGCTTGTGAGACGTCTGTGGTTTTATGAAGTCATTTTGAGAGAGTTAAAGTAAACACAGATACAGAATATTGCAATAGTCCGGGTCCAGATGTAATAAAAACATGAATGAGTCTCTGCAGATAAAAAAAGATCCAATCTGATATATTTTTAGGAGGATACAGGAGGGAGAACTGGACTGCGGATTTTGTCCAATGATCAAACCTGAGATTATTGTTTGAAAAATAATGAGAGGGGACACTCGAGGACAGTAAACATTTAATTTCCAACCTGTTCAAGGTAGAACAAAACCAGAGATGGCCAACTAGAGATAAAGATGTTTTAATTACATTCAAAATGAACAACAAAAGCTGCAGTAAACATCGAAAAGGAGATTTCCCTGTAACTATTATATAAAAAGTCACGTTCCAGGGATGCAGACAGACTCTCATGTAACTGTTAAATAATAGTTTGCTCAGGGAGGATTATTCTAAAATCCAGCGGTTTAGCAGATTTCTGTGAAACCACAAACATTTATATAATGCCAAGCCCTCTTTGCAGGGACAAGCATTACTGCTGATTGGGATAACACATAATGGATAATGATGAGAGCCACTTGTAGCACATGATGTCACAGAGTAGTGTGTTTCAACACCAAACATCTGACTGTCTGATGCTCTGACATGGATTTGATTTTAATAAACATTCACATTATTCTTTGGTTTGGGAGGGGAAGACTATCTCTTTGTTTCAGTCCTTGTTATTGCACTTCTGTCGCTCCAAAAAACAACAGATATTTGCTCAGACTGTCTCTTTGCACTGTCATCTCATAACAATAAAACTGGCAGCACAATAAAAAAGTCAGTGTCAGAAAAGGCTGCTGT